TCAGAAGTTTTTTTATTTTTTATTTCTTTTGAAGCTAATATAGAATTAATAGATAAAGCATTGGAAACATTGCAGAATTTCAAAACGGAAGACAATTGGATGAATTGCACTGTTGAAAACACCTTTGAAGTTCCCTGGCTTGCTTCTGCTGTCTTCTGTTGTTCTGAACTGTTTCTCCTCTGAGAAGCCCTTTGCCAAGCCACCCAGTCCTGGATCCAGCCAATTACACATGGAAATCTCTACATCTCCTGCAGCTAGACCTCTTCTCTCTATAAAGATTGTATTCAGGACTTTTTAATGTGACATTTCTGCAGAGACAGAATGTCAATAGGAAGGACAAGGATCCTCTGCTGGCCTCTTCTCTCTCTGGCTGGACGAAGTATATTCACCAACTTTTCTAGTCCATCCAGACACAGTCCTAGGAGGCTGAGAGAAATTAAGCATAGATACAAAATCTATGGTAGTTATGTTTGTGTTTTCTGCTTTTCAACCTGGATGGTCCTGGCCACCTGCAGCAAAACCTGAGAATAAATGGTGCTATTAGTTAAGTTCCAGATATGAGTCCCACAGAAGGACCCTCTCTTATGTTTGAAGAAAAGTTGAAGCCTAAATAGAAGTGAATGGACTCTTTGAGACCCTAGAGAAAGCATGTCGCTAAATCTTAGTTTGAATTCACTCTGATGACAAGGTTCAGGACTATCACCATTTTGCTCAGCTCCACTCAACTCATTAGTGTTGAGGACCCCCTGATGCTCTTTCTATGCAGAAGGACTCCAATAAAGATCAAGTGGAGGAGAGATGTGGTTATGTACTTGATTTGTAGAGGCTGTGTGGACACGGCACACGTTTTCAGCAGCAGCATTGTGGAAGTAAAAATTCTGTTACCCTGCATCATTTTCTGGAGCTTGGAGAATATCGTATCTTCAATATGCAGGCTTTTGGAATATATGCGCTGAGACAGACAGACACTGCATTTGGTAGATGCAAAGAGGTATAAGTCAGAGGCAGTACATATTATTCCTTGGATATCAGTGTGTTTGTTGGGCATAAACTTCCAAATGAACATTTCCCTAGATGGAAATCAGAGCATCTCAGACTCAGCCAGAAGATTATAAATGTGTAATATTATAGTTATCTCCTTCTGTTGAATTTTTGTCTTACCTAATATGTATAACCTTCCTTGCCACTTCTGATTAGTTTTATCTTGACGTTTCCTTTGAGAATAAAATTGCTACTCTTAATTGTTTTTAGGCTCCTGTGACATAGAATGTTTTCCACCTTTTGTTTTTTTTAGTTTGTAAATTTCTTATTAGATTATATGAGTCTCTTGAATGCAGAGGATCATAGTTATGCTTTTTCATCCAATCTACCAATTTTTAATCTTTTAAGTGAAACAATTGAAGTTCTTTTGTTGAGACCTATTTTTTACTTAAAAGTACTGAATTATTTCTCTTATTGAATTTTTTTTCTGCTGTAGACTATATTTTCTGTTGTCTTTAACTACGTACCTTACTTGATATATTTGTTACATTTGACTTTTTGGTTTTGTTTTCGTTGTCTAGAATTTTTTTTAGTGTTTCTTTTTATGTGCTTGTTTGGTGTTTATGAATTTCTTAAGGTATTCTTCGTTATGAGATATCCTTATTTCATCAATTTGGAAAGATAATTTTGCGAACTATATTAATTTGGATTGGAAATAGTTTCCTTGTGTGCTTAAAATACTTCATTTCAAGCATTCTTGCCCTTTAAAATTGGTATTAAGAAGTAGCCAGATCAAAAATAACTATAGAAATTTCTGAGATCCAGAAGAACACAGTGCAGCTTCCTTTCTTGGCTTCTGCTGGTGCAAAACTGGAGTTTCAAAATGCAAAAGACCATAGGTTTTCTTTCCCTTTGCCAAACAGGAAGGCACTAGGCTAGTCCTCCATGTTCCAACTTTCTCCCCTTCTCAGTTCATCAGCACCAAAAAATCCAAAGAATTTGAGATCCCTGACAGATGAAAGCCTAGAGGGAGGGGACAGGGCCAAAAGGGCAGTAGAGTTCCCCCAAGGTAGAGACTAAGGGGGAAAAAGTCTCACTGAGATAAATATAATGCATAGGATTATATTATATTTTATTTTTTATATTTTAGGGAAGGGTCTACAGGGTGTTTAGGGTCTCACTACTAGATTGGATTCCTAGTGATCCACCTGTTTACAGCCTCCCAAGAGCTGGGATTACAGGCGTGTGCCAGCACCCCTAGTCTCATTTGCTGTCTCAGCACCCCTCAGTGGCAGGGCCAGTACAGCAGGCCTGGAGATCAAACCACCAGCCCCTGCACCTGCTTGCTTTATTTCACTGAGCTATTTGGCCAGCCCAGTGTTTAGCATTATAAATCAGTTTTCTCAATCAGTTTTGTGGGTTTGGGATTAGCTCAGTAGAATAAGTGCTTGCCTGTCAAGCACAGGATCCTGAGTTCAATCCCCAGTACTGAAAAAAAAAAAAAAACCCAAAAAAACAAAAAACAAAAACAAACAAACAAAAAAACAGCTTTGTCTTTGTTAAGCCCAATCAACATGGGTGGTAGCTAAAATGTAGTTAGTAGAATAGTGAAGGGGTAACTTTAACAGTTATCCATCCTTGTATGAATAAGCTTTCACACAACAATTTGTGAAATTCCTTCCATTTAAGCTGCAAATTACTGGGCCATATCTAATCCAACATACATGGTAAGTAGAGGCAGAATCTTTTCAAATTTGTGGCTGGCTTGGCCAATTTAGTGGAATCCAATGTTAAAATATTTTTTTAAAGAAGTGTTGCTGGAGATGTAGCCCTTGCCTAGACTGCTAGGATCCTCAGTTTAATTTCCAGTACCAGAAAAAGTTGTCTCTATTTCTCTTTTTAAAAGTAGGTTGGTGCTTGGGAGATAGCTCAGCAGCATAAGCACCTGCCTGCCAAGTACAAAGTCTGGAGTTCGATACGCAGTACTGCCAAAAAAAAGGGGGAGTTATCAATCATGAAAGGCAATATATTTTAATCAGGATGTATTGTTTCAGACTTGAAAATTGCATTAAATCAGAGTATTACCTTATGAAGTAGAATATATACATATATATATATATATATATATATATATATGTCGTATATGTATATGTGTATATATTGACATATATGTGAAAGGATTACATATAAAGTCTATATACTCAAAAGACTCTTATTAAGAAAATAATCTTCAGGAAACACAAAAATGACATCACACTTGTTGATTTTGGAAAATACTTTAAAGCTATGTTAATTTGAACAATATGACACTGACAGAGAGACAGACATACAGGTCAATGGTTCAGAAGAGAATGCTCAGAAACAAAATGCCACACACAGAGATAATAATCATCTGATAAACATGACAAGAGTGTATAATGAGAAAAGGACAATTTCTTCTCTAACTGTGATTGGAAGGGTGGATATTTTCACACAGAATGAAACTAGACACATAGTACACCATACACAAAATGAATCCAAAATGGACATAAGATTTAAAACTGAGACATAAGCCTATAAAATTGCTGGAATAAAAGACAGAACAGCTTTCTTACTGCTATTTTGATTGGATGTAGATTAACTGGTTTGCAGTGCTTCCTTTGTTTAAATTTCATCCCCACTGTAAGCTACTGAGAGAATGAAAGCATCATCTGACTATAGTATTTAGAAACAGGGACTTTTCATGATTTCTAATGAAGATTGTAAGAGTGGAGCTTCAGTGATTAAATCTCTTCACTAAGAAGAAAAGAGAGAAGGAAAAGACAGACACATGAGCATGCATACTCTATCTCTGGTCACGTGGTTCCCAGTGCCACCTTAGGAATCTTCCAACAATAAGGTCATCATCAGATGTCATTGCGTTAACCTCCAGAACCATAAGCTATGGAAAGCCTTGTTAATAACCCTTGCAGCCTTGCTATAGTTTTATCAATCACAAAAAATAACTAATAAATGAGATTAGTGTTTGCTGTGGTTTCTCAGATATGAGGAAAGGAAAGAATAAAGAAACAGAAAAGACTATGAATTCTAACAATGGTAGCACAGCAAAGTAAGCAGTTGATGCAGTGGGTAGGTCATCAACAGAACAATAGACAATATTAGTGCACAGTCTGACAAGGGTAAATATTCAAACACATATGGGACTCCTGCAACTCAATACAGAAAAGCACAAGCAATTGGATTAAAAGTTTAGACATGAATGGAAATTTCTTCAAAGACAGGAATGTCTAAGTGGCACATCAAAACATACTTGACATTATTCATTATCATCAAGGAAATGCAAATTATAACAATGATTGTGGATAGCATTTTTATCTAACTTAGTTGCCTACAGCATTAACTTTATTCATCATAATCAAGGAAATGCAAATTATAACAATGACATAGCACTTCATTCATTTGAATAATGATTCCTAAGAATTAAGCTAAAAATGCAGGTGTTTTTGAGCATGTATAGAAACTGGAACCTTTGTACACTGTTGTTCAGAATGCAAAACTGTATAGCTGGCCTCGAAAAAAGTATTAAGTGTCTTTTAAATGTTTTAAAGAGAAGCACCACATGATTCACCTACCCTACTGCTTTATGATTACCCAATACACTTAAAAATCAGGATTTTGAAGAACTATCTGTTTCTACTCAAAATCCTGCCCATTTTAAGAAAAAAAGCCCTTCAAATCTTTTCCTTGGATTTGCACACATCTCTTCTGCTCCCACTTTAGGGGACCAATGTGATTTCCAGTCTCAGCCAGATGACAGTGATGAGCAACTATCCTGCTGGAAGGAGCTGCATATTACTGAAAGATAATGTGGCATTTACACTTGTTGTATCTTTCTGGCAAATTGGTCCACTTACCTTTACTTTGTCTTTGTGAAAGACAAAGTGACAAGAAAATGGAGGGAATACATGGGAAGAAGAGGGAAGTGCTTCAGAAAATGGAGGGAATACATGGGAAGAAGAGAGAGGTGTAAAGGAGAGTAATACAGGTCTTAGGAAAATCAAAATAGGTTCCCTGCATGTATAAAAATACCACGTTGAACCTACTAGCCAGCAAAAGTGTTCAGAGGTAAAATCTATTCTTGATTCAGAATTTATAATCATTTAAGGAAGATGGAGGTGACTTCAAGTATGCATTGCATGTCTTTGCAGCTGTTGGTAGTTGTAGGACTTATGTACCATTGATTGAAGTGACACTTGTTCCACTAAAATCTCAAATTGCTTTATCTATACTATGGTTAGATAAGGGTGACAGGAAAACTTTTTTCATTAGGTCTTTAGAGTATGACACATTTGTGATCTGAGCTGTCCATGCTGCTCTTGAGTTCCTTTATCTCCTCATGAAGTTGTTGGCTCTCATTTTGGAATCCTTCTCTTAGTAGATTGGCTTGTTCCTAAAAAAAACACAAAGAAAATATGAGTAACTTCTGACAAAATCTTTTCAGGAGAGATTAATGTAAATGGACCAATTCACCAGGATGATATAACAATCATAAATAAGCATACACTGAATATTGGTGCATCTACTGAATATTGGTGCATCTACTGAATATTGGTGCATCTACTAAATATTGGTGTAAAAACTTCTTGAGAGGATGGAGCAGAAAGATATGAAAAAAAAATTTTATAGAATTTCTCTAACCTACCCTTACAAATAGAGAAGTAAACAAGATCAAAAATTAATAAAGAATGATCAGAGTCTATCTACATCACAGAACCAATGGGTTTACTGATAGCTGTGGAGTGTTTTATGTAGTGATAGGAGAATACACATATTCTGTGCACTTAATAGAACATTTTAAAATATAAAACATAGCTTAGACCTGAAATCATGTCTCAATTAACAAAATAATTGTAACAATGTCCTTATCTGCTACAGGACAATGGAATCAAACTAGAAAACAGCAAAAAAAAGACCACAGATTCCATACAAATACATGAACATTGTATAAAACTCACTGGAGTATTCAGTGGGCCATGGCAAATGTCAGGAACGAAATTTAAAAAGTCCCACTGAAATGATGGTGTAAATCTAACATAACAGAATCTGTGGAATACAATGAAAGCAGAGTTAAGAAAGAAGTTCATAGCTATAAGTGCCTACGCTAGAAAAATAGAGAGACTTCCCCTGCCCTTAAGCATATATCAATTGTGCTTGGCATTTGATGGATAGACTCAAGGAGTTATATCCAGATATGAAGTTATATATCCAGATAGGAAGCCAGGGGTTCTCTGGATGTCCATGTTTTCTGCTTATTTTTGACAAAACCCTTCTTTTTTTAAAGTTTACATTTATTTATTTATCTGGTACAGCATGTCATTATGCAGTTTGGAAAAGTAGTGATCCTCCTGTCTCAACCTCCCCAGTACTGGGATTGCTGGTGGGCATCACCATCCCTGGTTTTGGAGGCCTGCTCAGTGCGCCCGGGGCCTGCATGGCATACAGTACCAGGCATTAAACCCATGTCCCTGTGCTTGCCAGGTAGACACTTAGACCCATGAGGGATCTCCCCAGCCCTGAAAAAGCCCTTCTCTAGAGGAAGCATGTGTGGATAAGTCCATAGAAAGACTAGAAATGAATTCCACAATACATTTGGTGTAAAGAACAGAAAACAAGAAAGTGCTTAGGATCTTAAAGTGGAGGACAAGTAGAGAATTAAAGTTGCTTGAGTGAACTTTTATTCCATGCTAGCCAGGGTATGAGAAGAAATGAGGTCAATAGGATAAGAGGTTACCAAACAATGATGGGACATTTAGGGTAATGCACGGAGCAACATGTTCCCTGCAGAAGGACCGAATAGGAGACAAGGATGCATTAGATCTTCACTGCCTTCTTGTCACAACAAATAGGTGACATGCCCCTCATCATGTACCTCATTTCTCAGCAAGTGGAGACTGACTCTATATGTACAAGTTAGGTAAGTAGGGATTTAAACAGTTGTACATTAAGGTGGTGTGGAGGGGGCCGGGTAAAGGGCCAAAGATTGATGATGTGGTCAGAAAGACATAAAAATATCAACAAAAGGGTCTCTGGAGATTTCCCTAAACTGTTTGCATAGGAACAAAGAAGTGCAGATTGAGGGTAGAGATCTTCTAGCTGTCATGGAAATAATTTTAAGGATTCCACCCTAATCCTAGTAGGCAGGTAGTTGTTTCTCAGCAGTATTTTATTTTGCATTTTATTAGTGGCTGCTGACATCATTCATATTTCCATGTACTTATCTGACATCTATGTATTTCCTTTGGTGAAATGTCTTCGCATTATTTCATCCAACTTCTCAATAAGGGTTTTGTGGAATCCACAGAGTCTTAGGCTTCGTATTTTCTGTATGTAAGTCTTTTCTTATTTATGTGATTGGAAAATATTTTTTGTCTGTGGCATATCTTTTTTATTATCTTACAGGTGCCTTTTGAAGAGAAAAAATTGTCTATTATGATGAAATATAGGTTATTAAATTCTTCCTTATAACTCAAATGTACTTTTAAAAACACTGGCTAAATTTTATTGAGAAAACTATTTAAAGTATAGAAGTTTTGCCCCTTTCTCTGTTTCAAACTGTAGCAATCCCTCAATCTGGGTTTCAACTTTCTTTGAAATTATGCTGGGGAGACTTTTTTTTAATCATTTATGGCAGGTCCTACTTACTCTTTCAGCTGAGTGCAAGCAATGTGGATCTTAAATTCTGATAAATCAACATGATAAATGATACATATTCTTTTAGTTGGTACTTAGACATTATCTCTCATAATCTTTATTCAAGACTGTTGAAGTTCTATTGCATATACTGAAGAAATTGTACAGTTATAATCAGTAATAAATAGAATAAAGGAAAATGCAGCTTGATTATTAATCTGTGATTCCTAGTGTCACGTATGATTACAAACCCCAGAAGATTAAACTTTAGGAAGACCTTGGATATCCTAAACATGCTCTTATTGCTCATCTCTAGATTCCCCCCCCCCCCAGAGCTGCGTGTATTCTTAGGTGTGGCATTTGAAGGTTCCGCGATCACAGGGAATGACGCTGGACTCAGGCTGTGATAACTGGGTTATTACACTGATTAGGAGAGTTCTGCATGTGGATGGCAGGAAGGCCACCTAGAGGTGGAGAGCGCCAAATGATGGCCTTGGAGCCTGAGTGGAATAAACAAGGGAGAAGGAGGCTGCTGCTTGCTGCTTCCTGCTGACTGCCACGGGCTTTTCTCCTTGCGCTGCCCCTTAGACATGTCACCTTGCCTCGGAGCCAGGTGACTATAGACTAAAACTTCTACAAACTGGGAAACTGAAATAAATCTTTCTTTATTTAACTTGTAGGCATAGAGCAGTCTGACCCAGCAACAAAAAAGTAGCTAAGACACATGAATTCCTAGTTGCTTTTTGTAACATGTTAGCCAAAAAAAAAAAAAAAACCTATAAAGCAACACAAAGTATGGATTACTGGACTCTTTTAGAATATTTTGCTGAGTTAACACCCCTATAATATTCAAATGACAGAACTAAACAAAAAAGGGGATAGAGATGAATGTCCATTTTGTATCTCTGTATTCAAAGTGGTTGGGATAGACATATAGTTGCATTCTCTTAATGAATAGCGGGATTTGTTCTAATAGTGTTTGTAAATAGGATATCATGTCTGCATCTTCTATAGCAATTAACCACTAGGAAGAAAGTATGCAATGTGTTAATTATTGAAACTGTCCTACCAATTTGGTTTGAAACTGTCTTATTGCTATTTCTTTCTCAATAAAATCATGGAAAAAACCCCCACAAAATCCTACTCAACCAAATCAAATCATGAACCTGAAGGGAAATATGCAAAAAGATACCCCCATTTTTGCCTGAATGGTGGTTAACCTTGGTTTGTATGAAGACAGAGTCCAGGAATTCTCCTATATACATTTTCTTTTACATTAAACTTATTTTACCTAAAAAAGGCTAAGGTTCTCAATTCAAATCGAAGATACAAGCAGTATTTGCTTTCTTCTTAAATTTCCCTTGTAAATTTTGTATCTGCCATTTGTCAAAATCCTATGTTATAAAAAATAATCTTATGCTTTATGATCTTGTCACTTACATTCTGAAAAACATGACCATAGACTCTTCTAAGTAAATATTAAATATCTAAATCATTTTGTTGATCAAATTTCTCTAAGTAGCTTTTTCTCCCCATCACTAAGTATTAAATACTGGGCCTTTTCAATGCCCTAGATCTTTTTTAATTTTCTTTTTTGTTCATTTTGAGATGGAATCTTACTAGGTCATTGTACTGGGTTTGAATTTCCAATCCTTGGAACCTCTCAGTGTGCTGGGATTACAGGCATGTGCAATAAAGAGTTTTCAAAGGTATAAACATTTATTTCAACCACCTATCACTTTCTGTTCAATTAGGACTTGATAAACCAGCAGGACAGAAACAAAGAAAGGAAAAAAATTCTATCTAAACAGCAAAGGATCCAATCAGATATGGTTAATCAGCTACACACTCAGAAAAGAAAAGCCTGGCATTTGGCCCATGCCTGTAATCCCAGCCCTGATCAGACCAAAGGATTTCCATGAGTTTGAGATCAGGCTGAACTAAATAGTGACAGATTGTCACAACAAACAAATAAACAAGCAAAACCACCCAAAAAACTAACACATACAAACCTACAGAGAAGAAAGGAGTATGTGCAATGACAATGAAAGAAGATCTTTAATATGGAGTCACTACAATCACAGATTTAAAAAAGCTCTCTCCAAATGATGGCTTCAAAGCAGAAATACTGCCAGTAGCGGAGGAACTGACTATTTTCTGACATTGTCTCACTCTTGTGTTGGGCTCCACAGTCATTAAAGGTACTTTTGTCAGGAACAAGCACTGAACTCCTACTTATGCTGCACCTGATTTCTGGGTGGATACAAACACCTAGATGTCAGGACACCTGAGTCCCTCAAAACAGAGGAGAAAGAAAGAGCAACCAGGGCAATTTAAAAGGCGATGTTGAAATGGAGATGCAAAGTTAAAATCTGAATACTAAGCTATTTCTCTAGCTCCCTCATTACCAATTCTGGCATCAAGAAGGCTTCAGCAGAACCTGACTTCCAACTTTTATCTGGGTCCTGTGACAGCTGAAACAAACTTTATTTTGGGTTTTCTTCTATCCCTGCTATAAATTAAAGCACTTCTGTAAATTGGATGAAAGCAGGCCAGCTGTCCTGCCAACTTAACCAAATTGTGAATAAAAGCATATTCCCAGTTTTATTGGTGTTCCTATGCTCTCAATGGTAAATAGTAAAATGAATCCAGATATCTGTGGTCAGATTCGAAGCTCTGGCTGGATTCCCAATAATATGTATACATAACACAGAAATAAAATAGTACCAAATTCAGAAGAAGTATCTTGATCTCAGTTTAGGATATTTGAGCAAAGCCTCCACAACCATGCACACGAGCGACAGGTGATAGGCAAACCATCATAGTCCCAGAATATTTCATCACAGAACTCCCAAGGGAACAGAAAATGGGACCAAACAGAGAAAATATGGAGAAGCAATGTGAAGGTTGAAGAGAGTTTACTCAGAAAGATCCTTGTAGAGTTAAAGTTATAACAGATTGGACTAAAAAAATCATGTAAAAATAGACACTTCATCAACTGGGTGATCTATAGTAAGCTTTTCTGAACCCATGTTTCTTGTAGTAGGGAAGGAGTCCTTATTGCATGCAAGAGATCCAGCAGATAAAATATTTTCATGATGCCTAGCAGACAAAGCTGCCATGAAGGAAGGACATGCTCACCGATGGGGCAGCACTGCAAGGGAAGACAATGATTGGACAGGACAGCACATGGGTCAGGTAGGTCAGGCAGGTGCAGAGAAATCAATATGCACAAGGTCCTTCACAGGGATTCATGGTCTCCTTGCCCATGTTTGTGATCAGGGAGAATGGAGAGAAAAAGGAAAAACAGAAAGTTCAACATAGTGCAGCACAGTACCTGGAGTTTGAGATCCAGAGTCGCCTGGATCTCCCTGATCATCTGCGCCCTGTCCTGCTCCATCTTCATGGTCAGCTGTCTGACAAACTCCTGATGACTCTTCTCTTTCTGCTCCAGCATCTCCTGAATCTTCCTTTGCATTTCCTCCAGCATTTTCATGGCAGCCTCTGCAGATTCAGCTTTCACCCGTTGCACTGAGAGGAATGAAATATTCATGGGTTACTGTGTGACCTCGATCCTCCTTCTTCACACATTTACATGTTGTGGCTGTTGAGTGCATTATAAAAGAAGATACACTTTTCATTTCCTTGATCCAGCTTAAGTAAATGAGATTTTTCTTAAATTATTTAAATAGTTAAGAGCTTCTTAGGCCAAGTAGCCTCTTGACTCACTCCTCACCTTCAATCTCTTTTTCTCTCTCTATGAGGATCTGGTCTGTCTGTAGAATGGCATTAATCATGTCCTCCTTGGACTGCATGTATTTCTGCAGAACCTCTTCAGCCTTGCAAACCAGAGAACACAAGGTTAACAGTAGCAAGTGACAGTAAGCATTCATTTCTGTCTTTTGCTCATCACATATTCTTTTAGGAGCTGTGCCACTTGGTCCTGTGGGTCCCGAAGACTAAGATTTTCTGTTCACAACAATGGCACATGCTCAGCCTGCCCAGCAATTACTCCCATCCTGTGCCCCAAGAATCAATGTCCTTTATACAAAGCTTGTGGTGAGAAACTTGTGTTATTTGAGACTCAATGCACCAAATTTAAAACTATCAATGGTGTGGTCATGACAGGTTAAGTATGCTAAAAAATGAAACCTTCATGGAGACAACAGAGCAGAGAAGAAAGTGGAAGGAGTAAACAGCCAAGGAAATGTGGGTCAGGAAGGTAACAGACAGTGAAGAAGAAGGCAACTCCACTGTTAATTGAGTGTTCTCTCTCTGAGGAGCACCTAGGGCAGATCTAGCCTAATAGGCTTCTCGTGGGTGTCACTGACTGACAGTGTGACTGTAGTTGTAGAGTAGGGCACATCTCTGAGCCATCATGATTGGTCTCACTGATATGGACGCTCGTACAACAGCACAGGTGAATGGCTCACCTGTATCCCCTTCTTGGGTACCTCATGGTACTTTTTCTTCAGGTCTTGCACCTTCTGAAGGAAGAGCCGGTAGCCCCCTGATTTAGAGTAAATTCCTTGCTCCACTTCTTTTTCTAGGGGACTAAAAATATCCTGAAGTAAAGCTGAGCAACGATCTGAAGATGCTTTCTTATTCCGTTCATAGAACTTATCAGATTTCTTTTGTAGCTGTGTCTTTAATACAAAAATAAATAAAAATTATAGCCAGGCAGACAAAACATTTTGTAGTCAGAGTTCCTGAGAACACTTCTTTAAAAAAATGTGACCTAAACTTTGTATCAAGGCTTTTTTGTAAACTTTAACTTTACTAAAGTTTAATTTCTGAGCAGAGATTGTGAGCATTATGTTATACTTTAGTAGTAAGCTTTGAATTTTTCAGTTTAGAACAATGATTGCATGGGATAAATGGACCACAAAATGAGCCTTAATTCAATAATTTAGAATAATATTTTCTTTGCTTTTTTCTTAAATACCAAGCAGGGTAACAGTGTACACATAATTGATTAGAAGTTCTGCTTAGTAATTATATTATGAGTAATGGTATGCATTTAGTTGTAAAAGCTAATCATAAAAGAAAAATGTTTTGAAACTTTCAGTCCATAAGAATAAAATTATTTCTCCTTACTATTATGACTATCCATTGGTAGCTAATATCATTTTGAAATCTAGGAATAATTGCTTATTTCATTTCCTTGTAGTACTTTGCCTTCTCTATATTCTCTTGAGATAAAAATTACCTACTGCCAATTTCCTTTGAAACTCTTAGCCAACATCTCTGAAGGAATGTTTCATGAAGATCTGGATGGCCTCCCTCTCACAGGCCCTGTGCAGGTCCAGCAGCTCCCGCAGGGTGTCTGTGGGCAGCTGCATTTTCTGCCCCATCTGCTGGTCATAGTGCACCAAGGCCTTCTGCACTGCAGCAGAGTTCTCTATCTGGGCCACGGCCAGGACTGCGTTCTCCATGCAGGGCAGATCCCCACTGCTGATGGCAGTGACGTAGGTCTGCACGAGGCTCTCTAGACCTGCATATGGAGAGCAGATGATAGTGCTTGTTACAGGTAATGTGGAAAACAGCCTCCATTGGGTGTGATCTGAGTGTGCCAGTTACCTCCTATTTGTCTCAAAGTGTCATTGGTCTATTTACCAGTGTACTTGGTAATTCACTAGAAATACAGAGCCTCTGCTCCTTTTTAGACCTATTGTATTCGACCTTCCTCATTAGGAGACCCCTGGTGATGTGTGTGCACACTAAAGCCTGAGATTCCCGGGCATAAACTACATAGGACTAGATTAGCCTTATCCACCCACTTCAATTCTATGTATCTTTGAGACTCGAACTGTGTGTCTCATCTTATCTGTATCATCGTCTCTGTTAGCAGTACAAATTTGATCATTATTTATAGATCAAGAAGTGCTATCCCAATCAAACGCTGTTGCCCTTTTGTTTATTGAAATGAACAGCTTTATTCAAGAGCAGACTAAATGGATATTCATTAGGCACCTGAGGAATATAGCCATGAGATGTTTTAATTTTTTAATTTAAATTAATTTAACTTTAAATTTAAATAATCATATTTTCTAGTAGCTACCATATTGCAGACTGCGTGTCTGGTTTACTTACTGCATTTAAAGCAATAAGCTTTTTTCCTATAGGTTTTCCTCTCTTTTTCCACCAAGAATTGTGACTAACGTAATGTATTGTAAATGTTCAGGCCATCTAAACATTCATGCAAGAGTAGTTCACTTGCAAACCTGAAACTAAATTATTTTGTTGTTGTTGTTCCTTAGCCTCAGGAATGAGTGAAGCTAACGGGAAGGGTACTCACGAGGTCCGTTGACCTGGATGCCTCCCGGCAGAGTTTTAGTCCTGGAAGAGCTGAAGATGTAAGATCAGAATTCTGCAGCTTGTTCCACGAATTCCGGGTCCAGCTCATCCTCATGCAGTGTCTCCAGCTGGGCCAGCTTCTTTCGCTGAGCGGGTCTATCGAAGACAAAGCATTTCTTCTTCGGGAAGAACTTGCGGATGCAGAGTCGGGGGAGATTATAATTTTTAACTTTCACACCAGTACCTGCAAGAAGATGAAAAGGGGTTTTCCAACTGTAAGAATTTGTAAGTAGCTTTTGTAAAGGATCAAACAGTCCATATTTTCAGCTTTTCAGGTCAGATAGACTCTTTGCTCTGCATTCAGCTCATTGACTGTACCATGCCAGCACCTGTACACAATATGTAAATGAATAGGCTCAGTGTTTCCTAACAGTGTCTCCTCCTAGACAGGAGGTGGAGCATCATTACAGCTGGGTCATTCTTTTCCAAAACTTGGGCTACTACACTGGGGCTAGCATCCTGCTGCTACAACCCTGCTTTAATCTACTTTCTTCAAATATATTTTACTGCCCTCTATGTTCATTGGATAAATGCAGAAGCACAAATGATAAACAGCAAGATAAGTTTAAACTAAGTGTAGCAAAGCTGAAAATCCTTTCTTTGAACAGGTGAGAAACTTTTAAAATTTAATCTATTAATTCAGATATTAAGCATTAAATTCCAGGTCTACATAGATATGATAGAAAGCTCTAAGGGTAAAAAGAATGTAAAATTCAAAAGGAATTAATTGAAAATTCCTAGTATTTTAATGTCCTAGTTTACCAACTACCCTTCCATATTACCTTGCATTAGCTTCAGGGAATTCTCTAGGTAGGCATCTGGAGTGACGAACTCTCCCTCTATTTCTAAGTCCAGGGAGAAATCTCTCAGGGTCCACACAAAGTCTGGGAAGAAGCTCATGAATTCAGCTGAGTCTTGAACTTTGTTTGTGTTGGGTGAGGATTTTGCTCTGATTCGATCAGTCAGTTTAGTCACATAGCTGAGATGCTAAGGAAAACTGGAAAAACCAACAGGGTCCTTCATCCCATATTAGTTTGACAAATCCCCAATCTTTTATTTTACCTTTGTCCTTATCTAAATGTCATTTCTGTAGTAGGTACGTGAGTGCTTCCTGACTTGAATTCCTGCTTCTATCTTCTCTTACTATGTTGGCTGCACCAAGCTCTAGAACCATGGGGCTGGTTTACACCCATACTTCTCTCTTCCTGAACCACACAAAGGATACTGCAATTGGTCCATGGCCTGCTGGTTGATGATTCCTATGCTATTATACACAAAGTTGCTGCTCAGCAGAATCGCCAGGGTAAAGATCCAGGAGTCGTTCTGAATGTCACCCTGGAAGGCAGAACACATTTGTGACTCATGAATGTTTTATTCTATTTCAGTCAGAAGATTAGCAGTGACAAAAGTATCATCACTTAATTAGAAATTTGATAGTAATTACATACAAACCTAAATTCAAATAAAAATGTCTATCACAGCTGAACTTTTAATTTTTAAATTAATATAAAACTTAAACTATTTTTCCCTAGGTCCTCTTATGATTATTGGCAGATAACTGAAAATGCAGTCAAGGCTCTTAAGTTTTCTTTATATTCACTAAATTTATTATAAAAAATCATAGCACTTCTTAAGAAAGAGCACAGTGTTCTGCACACTAATCTTAACAAATGTTAGGAACATGAGGACTATTGTCACTTTCGTGCCTGTCTCACCCTCAAATATTTTCAGTGACCACACAAAGCATGGTGCTCACAATAGTTCTATGGGGGAATATCTGTAAATCACTAAGAATAAACACACAATAAAATCCACTCTGCTACTCTTTTTAAGTTTCAATGTTACTATTTGCATGACCCCTACTCCTATTTGTATGGAATTGAAATGTTACATCTGGTGAACATGAAGGATTTCAGTGCACTTCAAATGCAGAACACTGATGAAGCAGAGGAAGGTTGACCTTCTAAATAGAAGCAGATTTAAAACAGGAAAATATGGGATGGGAGAGAGTGAGCATACCTTGGTACAATAAAGCACCTGCTTGGATAAGCTTAGGCAAGCCCAGGGATCGTGTTTAATCCCTGGCACCACATGCTGTGCTGGGCCTGCCTTCAGGGTGTGCTGAACTGCCACAGAGTGCTGAGAAGGTTGTAGACAGGTTGTAATCACTATGAGCCCAAGCTGGAAAGTAGGACCCTATGACAACTAAGTACATTAAAAAAAATTGGGGGACTCCTTCTAGTTCTTCACTGTTTTCAGAAAGCTTTCTAGAATACTGCCTCATACTATATTATAGGAAAAAATACATTGCATTAGAATCCTTCAACACCTTCAGACAGCTGCACACTGTTCTGAAGCCAACCCTGTACCTTTTGTATCTGGTACAATTTTCCTGTAATAATGATGATTTGATCTTTAGATCCTTCTAAAAGCTCATTAATTTTCATAAAATTTCATGATTTATGATAGATTTCTTCAATCTGCTCCTCCTTTGCCAATAATATATCCAGCCAAATCTTTGGAAATAGTTACTTGTGTAATGGGTTCACCAAGATCTCCAGATAAGCCATGAAGCCCTACATAGTAATAATCATACCCAGGGCCACATTGGGGTTCATGCGCCATCTGCCATTCTGATGTGTTCCATGCACTTACTGTAGTTTTCCAAGTTTCATCAGTTCTGAAATAAACCTCCTCATAGTGGTCTCCAGGTCTTCCTCTTCTATCATAGGCCACTAAATCTCTAACTTTAGGTGGTGGTGGTGGTGGTGGTAGAAAGGGAGGATTCCTATTTCTTTTACCACGATGGCATGATGAGGAGAGTGCGGCAGTGGCCAGTGAGAGCTCAGGTCATAATAATCTTTTATAGAGGGAAGCATCAAAGCCCATCTTGGCCAGGCAATATTTTGTCACAACCCCTTCTCATTCTACAGACTGTCCACAGCACTCATCTAATATCATATTTAAATGACCATATTCACAAGTTTCATCATAAAAATTTGACTCAGAAGGTTGCACACATCTTTTGATGGCCAATTCAGTTATAAGGTCAAGGATACATATACAGCTACTTTTTCTTAATTCAATCAGAAGAAAGATTTGTACTAATAGTGTTTGGACAGGATATTTTGTCTGCATCTTGTACTACGAATAACCACTAAGAAAACAATATGGAATGTATTAATTATTGATTTTGTCCTACTAATCGTTTTTGATTCTGTCTCATTGTCATTTCTCAGCAAAACTAATTTAAAAATTTTCAAAAAAATGACATAAGATGAACTCTATGCACTCCACATCCCAATAAGGCTCTATCCAATAAGAACAACTCTGCCAATAGAACAAGAACAGCATTCTTAGGAAAGTTGATTGGTGCCTGTGTGTTCTCTGAAACTTCTTTAATTTTAATGTCTTTGGCCACAATAATTTCTCCTGCCGGACTTTGAAGAATTAATATCTCAACTAACAATTGAAATCAGTCCCTTAATGTGTTGGTAATTTAGTCATTCCGTAGCATCACATTGCAGTGATAGCTTAGTAGTTGCAGTGGGTGATGGCAACCTCAGACCTCTCCCAAGGTAGGATGATGTTCTTCAGAATTTCTCCAACACTTTCAGTACCTGCACTGATATTGTACACTCAGGCCACTGCTGTCTGGGACTGAAACACTCACAGTGTGGCCATATTCAGAGCCTTAACATTGTTGCCTCCTTTTCCAGTCACTGCCTCAGCATTCTTGCTCTGAAGCAGAATTTGCAACTCAACCATCTCCTTGGTGTTTCTCATTGTTTTAAGTGCTTGCTCCTCTTCCATATCTTCTGAGGACGTCTACCAAATTCATGATTGATTCAGTGCTGGGGAAGGTTTCCTCCGAATGTTTACTTTCAATTTTCTTGTATTATATGAACACATCAAGCACATACTACATATCTTTGCAGAGCAGAACTGTACTGTTCTGGGAAGGACCAATAACTGATACCCTAGAGCTGCAGTAGTCAGGGGAGGCTGCTTCCTTCACAGCCCCATGGCATAGATGCCCAGAGCCAGGCAGAAAGCAAGCACAGCTAGGCCTGAGGTCTTAAAGAAAATTTAAATTTAAAAATTTCTCTTTTTTAGTAGCAACATTTATTTGTAAGAGATGTAGAACCTCATGGAGTGGTGTTTGTAACCCCACCTGCATGCAAGGCAGAAATAGGAGAATAAGTTCAATGACAGTCTAGGAAATTTAGTGATACCCTTCCTCAACATAAATAAATAAATATGGGGCTAGTGCATTAAGCCAATGTTAGCATGCTCCACTTTATATTCCCTGGGACTTCTTAAATAAATAAATAAATAAATAAATAAATAAATAAATGTGTGTTTATAGCACTTGTAGTTCTTTTATACCAATTGTTACCTGCCATACTGTTATCTATCTTACTAGATGTTTAAAACAATTCTTGGAGATTTATGTGAAGATACTACACATTTGCCATATCAGAAAGCTGAAGCTAAAAATAGACAAACTATTTCTAAGTGTACCAAGCTAGGATTCGATTTCTAGTGGAAATAAAAAGTCACGAGGCTTCCACACCCAACTCCTTAAAGTCTGTAGTAGGATGAGACTCATCACACTGAGTGTATGTGTGCTTTCTTTTTCCATCCAGGATCACATGCTTTGCTTATAGATTGCAGTTGGTACTTTAACATCGTATTTACCATGCTGCTTTTCTGCTAGGATTCTGGCGTATGAATGTGTTTCTGATTTTGGCTGCTAACCTGAGACTCTGTAATATAGTAAACAAATGAAAAGGTATATTATGCTTAAAAACATTATTTCACATAAGAAAAAAACTACTTATTATAGCGAATATTCCCCGATAAGGAGAGATTCCCAAAACGGAACCATCCATCCTTACTTTCTCAACATCTCCCAGGCCCTCGGTGTCCAGCAGGACTAGCGTACGCTTCGGGTCCTCGGGGTGAGGCACGCACCACATCCAGATTCCCTTGGTGTGAGACTGCACTGTGGAGCCCAGAGAGAAGCCTGCCAAACACAGGAAATTTTGACATATGTGACACAGTTGAAACATAAAGACACTACACTAAGTGAAAAAAGACACAGGAGGAAAGTATTTCTGATCCCATATACATAGTAGAATGTGTGTAGAATAGTCAAGTTCATAGAGGCAGAACCTAGAATGGCGGTGGGGGATGCTCACAGGGAGGTGGTGTCTAATGGATGCAGCTTTCCTCTTTGGGAGGAGGAGGCTGATCTGGAAAGGGATGGAAATGGTGACTGCACAAATATGTGAATAAACTTAGTGCCAGAACCTGATTGCATAAGAATGTTTCAAAGGGCAAATTGTATATTGTGTAAGTTTTAACCCATACAAGAGGGCTGGTGAGATAAGTCAGGAGACTAAACGCCTGCTTAGGCAAGCTCAGGAACAGGGCTCCATCCCCCGCACCACATGCCACACAGTGTGCACTGAGCCGGCCACTGACTTGGTGTATGGTGGTCCACACCTGTAATCCTAGCACTGGGGAGGCTGAAAACAGGAGTATCACCATGAGTGCAAGTTGTATAGTGAGACTATATGCCAAATACATAGTAATAACAATGATGATGATGATGATGATAATAATAATCACTTTAAAATAATTTTTAAAAAAGAAAAAATGTAATGTAAGTGAAATATTTTTTAACCTCAAACGACAGTTTAAACTGGCTCTTACTTTATGAGCATCTTCACAAGAATGCTAGAGTTCACTGTCATGTAAATTCATTATTCATACTGCTGCCTTTCTTTGTTTAGAAAAGGACTAGTTCATGCTTTCCAAGGGGAAGCTAAGGCATAGTAAGGTAAGCCTGTGAGCTCACTGTCATGCCTTAGATCAAATGTCCACCTGAAAGTGGCAGATTAGGGCACAGTATCCCTCCCAGGCCCTTCTCCCCTCCCCACCCCCATGCAGGATGCTGGCAGTGGGGGTGGTCAGGACTCCGCAGAGCCCTGCTGGCAGCACTCACCCTTTTTCTTCCCAGCCAGCTTGTTCATCAGGTAGGATTTGCCTGTGCGGTACATGCCCACAATAGCCACGACCACGACGGGCTGGGAGATGGCCGACAGGATCCCCAGAGCTTCCTGGTTCACCATCAGCTGTCCTCTCACATTCTCAATGAGGCACACAGGGCCTGGCATGTAGGTCTCAGAGGCCATGTCCTGTGGGTAATCCTCTGGTCTGCAAGGGCAAGTATGGAAAGAGGTGGAATCTGCATTGTTAGTGCCGAGGAATTGTTTCTTTTTCTTTCTTTTTTTTTTTTACAGAATCGCAAGGATTTTTACATTTTAATAATGACAGATTTAAACTCAAAAATCAAGTAAAGCTGTGTATTTGTCTGGGCACAAGTAAACATTTATAATATTTTGTTGTTAAGTTCTTAATATAAAGAACTGATCTTTGACTTTTTTAATTTTAAAGAGAATAAAAAATATTAGACACGTTATATTTATTTTATTTATTTATTTTTTATGTTAGGGAAGGGTCTACATGGTGTTCATTTTCTCACTACTATATCAGACTTGCAGTGGTCTGCCTATTTACAGTCTTCTAAGAGTTGGGATTATAGGCGCGTGCCACCCCACCCAGTCTCCTTTGCCATTTTAGCATGCCCTGGGGGCGGGACAGGCACGGTGGGCCCAGTGATCAAACCCCTGACTCCTCAGCCTGCCTGAAGGTGCTTTACTCCTCTGAGCTATTTGGCTGGCCTAGAAACAATACAGAATTTTTAAAAACAAGGTGATAGGAATTCAATAATGGCTGTTATGTTGTGTATGTTGTCTTCAAAGTATTTGTTGAGATTACCTGATACAAGCGTGTAAAATTGATCAAAAATTAAGAATGAAGTAGTACATTTATCTTAAATGTATTACTTTTTAGTTTTCTCTCTTCCCTCATCCCAGTTGTTCTTTCTTTTTGAGCAGTTGTTTTTCCCTTTCACAATATCTATTGCACCTTTCAGATTTTATCTACTCTTTTAGGTTCTTATCCTGGGGAGGCAAAATGATGTTTACATGTGTGATTCTGATTTATTTCACTTCGAAGTATGGTCTCTAGTTGCATTCATTTACCTATAAGAGTCTTGAGCTTCTTTCTTTTTAGCTGAGTAGTACTCCATTGTATGAAAATACCCCAGTTTCTATCCATTCCCCAGTTAATGGGCATTTGGGTGTTTTCCAAGATTTAGTTATGACAAATTGTGCTGCTATTCCCATGGGTGCACATATATTGTTGGGGATATTTTAAGGAAAAATTCCTTCTCCACATACCAAAGACTAAAACTGGACCTGTGTCTATCAGCATACGCTAAAGTCAAAATGAATAAAAGATCTGAACATTAGAATAGAAATACTAAATCTACTGAAAGAGCAAGTACACAGAAAACTTGAAGACACAGGGGTAGGCAGAAAGTTTAGAAACAAAAATCAAACTGCACTGAAAATGTTTAAAATAATTAAGAACTAGGCTCTCATAGTATTAAAATGGTTTTTTTTTTTCACATACAAAAAACTGACCAACAGAATAAAAACAGTCCACGTATTAGGAAAGAATTTAGACAACTGTCCTTCAGACAATGGACTTCTATGTAGAACATATAAAGAATTTAAAAAAAGGGCCGGGGAGATGGCTCAGTGGAATAAGTTCTTCCCTGGCAAGTGCAAGGGCCTGAGTTCAATCCCCAGTTCCGCAAAAAAAAAAAA